CCCAGTTAGATTGCGGAAAACTTCCCCCAGTCCCGCCAGTGCGAGGGTTTCCTGGTGATTGGAAACTTCCTCTCTTAAGACTCCCTTCCCCGGACAGGTCTCCATCCGTAGCTCTTTTGATTCCCTTTTTATCTTTTATATTTTGTCCTACCTCCCTTCGAAGACAATGGGCTGCTTTTCTGGGCGCCTGATGTCCTCTGCTAGCGATCAGAAGTTGTTTTGTGAAATTTGCTCAGCGTTCAAATGTTCTTTCGATGAATTTGTAGAGGAGAAAGTGGTCTCCCCGTCCTATTCCTCCGCCATCTTGGCTCCTCCTCTAATTCAACTTTCTAAAATTTGGTTTTATGATGTCTATGGGGCTTCCTTGGTGACTCGGATGGTAAAGAATCTGCCTGCAATGCAAGAGACCTAGGTTTGATCCCTGGGTTGGGAAGATCCCCTGGAGAAGGGCATGGCGACCCACTCCAGTATTCTTGCCTGGAGAATCCCCGTGGAGAGAGGAGCCTGGCGGGCCACAAGTCCACGGGGTCACAGAGAATCAGACATGACTAAGTGACTAAGCACAGCACAGAAAGAAAATATAGACAAAATCAACAAAGGAAAAAGTTCCTCTGAAATGGAATCAGGAAGTAGAAGAAAACTGTAAGCCAACACTCCAAAGAGAATTAAATATAATCCAACAAACATTTCAGGATATGAAAAATCACTATACATCAAAAATTAAAAACTAGGGATTTCCCTGATGGCCCAGTGTTTAAGACTTCATCTTCTGATGCATCACCTTCTGATGCAGGTTCCGTGTTTAAGACTTCACCTGACCAGGGATGAAACCCTGTGAGGTAACTGAGATCCCACATGCTGCAGAATGCAGCCAGTTTTTTTTTTTTAATTCAAAAGTTAAAGAGTCAAGTACTGATGTGATGAAGAGATATTTGAATCAACTAGGGAAAGAAATGGCAGAAAAAGACAAAATTATTTCAGAAATGCAGATTAAATAAAGTACCCAAGAGAGAATAAACTCAAATGAAAGTGTAATAAAAAGACATTGGAGAAAGACAGAAAGACAACAAAGAAAGTGACAATGACATAAAGAGAAAGAAATGGAAAAGTTTCAGAGTGAGGGAGAAATAAATGGCAACGGAATATTGGACATTGAAGGAGGAATACACCCTTTTTTGGGATCCTTGAAGAAACAAAACAAAACAGAGCAAATATTTAAAGTCATAGGGATCCCCTTGGCAGTCCAGTGATTGGGACTCCATGCTTCTCCTAAAGGGACCATAGATTCAATCCCTGGTGGAGGATCTAGGACCACACATGCCACATGGGCAAAAACAAAAATCAATCAATTTTAAAAAGGCAGGGGATGTGGATTTAATCTCTGGTCAGGGAATTAAGATTCCACTGCTTTGGAGCAACTAAACCTGGGCGCTATAACTATTGAGCCCTCGAGTCATAGCTGAAGAGTCCATGCGCTGCAATGAAAGATCCTACATGATACAACAAAGGCCCAACACAGTCAAATAAATAAAGTAAAATCATAAAAAATTTTTCCCGAAATAGAAAATCACTTGAAATTACACATTGAGAGGGCTGACTAGGTACCTGGGAAAGCAGCCCAGAAGGTCAACTCTGAGACATATTCCTATGTCTATTTGAAGACATATGTCTACTTGACTTTGAAGATTAAGATAAAATTCTTAAGTCTTCCAAATCAAGAAATTTATGAAGTCATAAGAATTATACTGATATTAGACTTTTCAAAGCTAATATTCAAAGCAATACAACACTGGAGGAACATTAAAAATTACTCAGTGTGTGAAAGTATGAACCAAGGATTTGATAACCAGCCCAGCTGTCTTTCAAACATGTACAAGAAATTAGGGAATTTAATTTATGTGCATATATATATACACGTGTGCTTAGTCACTCAGTGGTGTCCGACTCTTTGGGACCCCATGGACTGTAGCCCGCCAGACTCCTCTGTCCATGTGATTCTCCAGGCAAAAATAGTGGCATGAGTAGCCATACTCTTCTCTAGGGGATCTTCCCAATCTCGGGTCAAACCCGAGTCTCCTGCAGCTCCTGATCGCAAGTGGATTCACCTGGGAAGCCCCAATCTTAGGTGGCTCAGTGCTAAAGAATCTGTGGACCAATGCAAGAGATGCAGGAAATGCAGTTTCGATTCCTATATCAGGAAGATCCCCTGGAGGAGGAAATGGCAACCCACTCCAGTATCCCTCCCTAGAAAAATCCCATGGATGGAGGAGCCTGGCAGGCCAAAGTCCATTGGGTTGCAAAGAGCCAGACATAACTGAGTATGCATGAAAACAGGAGGTTAGGGGTTGGGGGGGTGGGGGGAACACCAGGCAAACTCAATCTGAGGAACAGTGTACAGAAAAATTGACCAGCACTCATCAAAAATGTCAAGAGCATGAAGGTCAAGACAAGATTAGACCATCACAGATTGGCGGAGAATAAGAAATTACAATTAAATGCTATTTGACATCCTGAGCCAGGAAAAGAAACAAATAAGTTCTGTAGTTTGGTTAATAATAGTGTATCAACCTGATGTTCCTGGGTTTGATCATTATACTGTGGGTGGTAAGATGTTAACATTGGAGGAATGTGGATGAAGAGTATTTGGGAATTCGTGTCTATTTCCCCAACTTTTCTTCTAAGTCTTAAAATCATTTCACAGTACAAAGTAAAATAGATAAATGGACTCCAGTGCTTCTTTCACTCATAAATTTTATCTCAGCATTAAGTTTCTATTGAGTTTGTGTCTTTAGTGGTTAGCCCACCAGCTGACCCCACACTCAGGTGTGGTTTATTTGGGAGATGAACCTGAGAGGCATGAATAAGGCAGCGGGGATGTGAGAAATGGAAAAGTGGGAATTAAAATAACAGATAGAAATAATTGACTTACCTGAAAATAGTGAGTTTAGACTGCTTATCCAGTGTGTGTGTGTGCTAAATCCCTTCAGTCATGTTCAACTCTTTGCGATCTTATGGAATAGGCTGCCAGGCTCCTCTGTCCATGGGATTGGAATGGATTGCCAATGCCCTCCTCCAGGGGATCTTCCCAACCCAAGGATCGAGACTACGTCTTTTGCATCTAGTACATTGCAGGCAGATTCTTTACTGCTGAGTCACCTGGGAATCCTATGCTTATCCAGTGGAACCAATGTAATCACAGGGTCCTCTTAATGTGGAACAGAAGAAGCAATGTTTGAGCTACACAAGGTGAGAAAGACTTAGTCATGGCTGGCTTTGCAGATGGAGGGAAGGAGCCCCCAGCCGACAATTGCAGGCAGCCTCTAGAAACTGGAAAAGGTGAGAAAGCAGATTCTCCCCCGGAATATTCAGAAAGGAAGTCAGCCCGACTTGATTTCAAGTCCATGAGACCCATTTTGGACTTCTGACTTTCAGAAGTGTAAGATAACACATTTGTGTTGTCTGAAGCTACTAAGTTTGTGATAATTTGTTACAGCACCAATAGGAAGCGAACGTGTACTTAGTCACTCAGTTGTGTCCGACTCTTTGGGACCCCATGGACTGTAGCCCGCCAGGCTCCTCTGTCCATGGGATTCTCCAGGCAAGAATACTGGAGTGGGTTGCCATGCCCTCCTCCAGGGGATCTTTCCAACCCAAGGATCAAACCCAGGTCTCTTCCGCATTGCAGGCCAATTCTTTACCATCTGAGCTACTGGGGAAGCCAAAACACATACCTAGAAATAGTGGGCTTTTTCAGATTCATATGAAGAAAATCATAAAACTTTACTGAAGGACATTTTTAAAGTACCTGAATAGGGGAGGGCGGGTGGGGAAGGGATAGCCTGGGAGTTTGGGATTAGCAGATGCAAACTGTTATATATAGAACAGATAAACAACAAGATCCTACTGTATAGCACAGGGTACTATATTCAGTATCCTGTAATAAAACCATAATGGAAAAGAATATGAAAAATATATATGCATAAAATCACTTTGCTGCACACCAGAAACTAAGACAATATTGTAAATCAACTATACGTTAATAAATTTTTAAAAGCTAAAGTACCTGAATAACAATTGGTTCATAAATAAATGAACACATAGCTAGACAGACACATATAAACATATATTGTATATATGCATATTCCCAACCAAAATTACAAACTGATTCAAAATGCTATCTGGGGACTTCCCTGGTGGTCCAGTAGCTGGGAGTCTGCCTGCCAATGTTGGAGACAGGGCTTCGTTTTCTGCTCTGGGAAGATCCCACCTGCCGAAGGACAACTAAGCCAGTGTGCCACAACTCCTGAAGCCTGTGGGCCCTACAGCCCAAGCTCTGCAACAAAAGAAGCCACTACAATGAGAAGCCCACGTATTGCAATGAAGAGTAGCAACCCCCCATCCCGTTCCCCGCTTACCACAGCTAGAGAAATCCTGCATGCAGCAATGAAGATCCAGCACAGCCAAACATAAATAATTTAACTATATTAAATAAAAACTGTATGTGGGGGACTTCCCTGGCAGTCCAGTGGTTAAGACTCCATGCTTCCAATGCAGGGGGAGGGAAATACAGGTTCCATCCCTGGCCAGGAAACTAAGATCTCACATGCTACATGGTACAGTCAAAAAACAAAACGGTATCTGGGAAATCAAATACACAAAAAAGAGAAAATCATATTGAAAAAAGACAATATCCTTGGGTACATCAAACAGATTATCAAACTACAGTAACTGAAACAGAGGCAAAGGAACAAAAATAAGTTCAGTGGGACACATAATGCAAGGTATGACTTTATTAAGGGGATACCATGGAGGGACAGAGGGGGGAGGTGAGCCTATCGACAGATGAAGAAAAATGATCTATAGTTTTTGCAGAGATTAGTCTTAGAGGATCTCAAAGTCTTCTGAATAGTAACGGGATGGGCATTCACCAAAGGGGAAAACGGAAAGGGGTGGGGCCCAAGAAGAACCCTCAGAGTGCATGTTCCAGTAGCTGATCTCTGCTAATGGGGGGCGGGGGGTGGCGGGGCGGGACGGGATAGTGGAGGCAGCAACTCTCCGAGGTCTGTGCAGGGAGCCGAGGGCTTCTCACAGATCCAGGGGTTTTCTGTAACACATCTGCCATCATTCCAGCCATCGTTGTGCAGTTCCACACAGTCCTCATCTCCGTGGTTGTTGGGCTCCCCTTTTTTCCAGAAGCTGTGAACCGCATCAGTGCTATGAGACCCCTACTCCACTCAGTGCCCGCCCCCAGTTTTGGAGGGGCTGGTCCCTGGACTTTGACAGCAAATTGCCAAATACCAGCCAGAGACAGGTGAGGAATTCGGAGGCAGGGTTTTTGAAATGTGGGTTCAAACACCACACCCACCAGAATCAGTTCTGGGAAAGTTAAATGTGGGCTTCCCTGGTGGTTCAGACGGTAAGGACTCTGCCTGCGATGTAGGAGACCCAGGTTTGATCCCTGGGATTGGAAAGATTCCCTGGAGAAGAAAATGGGTACCCATTCCAGTATTCTTGCCTGGAGAATTCCATGGACAGAGGAGCCTGGTGGGCTAGAGTCCATGGGGTCACAAAGAGCCTGACACGACTGACAACACTAACACAAAATTAAATGCAGATTCCTGGGCTTGCACCTAACTTACAGAATCAGAGTCCCACCCAGCTCCTACCCCCTACCTCCAGAGGAAGGCAGGACTCTGCATCTTCACCAAGCTTCTCAGGTGATGCTTTCCAGTCCAGAGTTTGAGCACCCTTGTTTTGGAGTTCCCACCCACCTCTCCTGGGCCATTGTCACTGGAAGGTTACCTGAGTTGGACAGGACTGTCATCCACCCACCGCCAGGACCCCTCATTGTGGTGGTCGCTGAGGCCGATCCAGGTGGGTTTATTATTTCTGGCATACCAAAAGTTCAGGAATTTCTGGGGGTGGGTGGGAAGAGGAGTATTAGGAGGAAGATCCCTGAATGCGACACATCCCATGTCTGCCCACATCTCCATGGTCCCCCGCCTCCCATAGAAGTTCTTCTCACAGTCTAGCCTAGAGGCCCTACTCAAGTTGTATGTGTTCACATGTACATGGAGGCTGTGGATGTGTGTTAATGTAATATACATGTGGATATGTCTTAACTTATGTCTCAGTTAACATGCATTGTATATGGCCTCAAGGGCACTCTGAATTCCCTTCCTATCCATACATGGGCTCCTCTCATCCATGTTCTTCTCTCACGTGACCTTCCTGAGTCCATTATGATTCCTCCTCCAAGAAGCCTTCCCTGATTGTATCTCACCTCTCATGCCCCCGCCCCACCCCCAGCTGCCCATCTCTCAGAGGGGCAGAAGAGGGAGGCAAAAGGTTCTTTGTTGACTTGGCAATATGGCCCAGCCTCTCGGGGGACCTTGCCCGGCCCACCTCCTCCTCAGTACTCTCGATGATAACTAGGTGGGCCCCAATAAGCAGACAGGCAGAGACGGCAGATCTCCAGTCACTCTGGGTCCAGGAGAAGAAGTAGCAGCTTCCGTCGAAGAACTCCCAATTCTGAGGACAAGGATGGCACAGGCCAGCTGGGGAGGAGGGGTGGAGTTGGGACAGAGAGGTTGCTTGGCTCCGAGGCTCCAGATCTTCGGAACCCAGGGCTGGGCCCTTCTGTTCAGCTGTCAGTGCAGTTTCTCAAGAAACCCATGAGGAACACCCCAGCTCTGCTCTGCCCTCCTCAGCCTGGCAGCTGCAGCAGGTGTGGCCCAGCCCCCACCCACCATCCTGTGACTTCCTCTTGACCTTGGTGTGGGTCCCTTACCCAGGGTGGCATTCATCCTGGTCAGGCGCTGTAGGATCTCCTCCAGGTTTGATTGCATCTGCTTCTGTGCAACCTCAGCTGCAGGGAAAGGATATCAATTATTACACACCTACTGTGTGTGTGGTGCAGAGAGCCCCATGAGAACATCATGCGTGGATGTCAGGTGACCCGGAGAGCCCATCATACAGACGAGAAAACTGAGGCTTAGAGAGGGACTTGCCCGACATCGCCAGCTCACCAGGACCTCTTGCAGGGGTCCGGTCCCCTCCCCCACTCCTGCCCTCTCTCCTCCACCCCTGGGCAGTGGTGTCTTGTCCACAGCCATAGAGCCCCAGAGCCCCCTCCCTACTCAGACTCCGGAACCTGGTGTCCAGCCACTTATCCAGGCTGTTGTTTTCACGGTCTCCCGAATCTCTCTGCAGACACCGGATCCTGGAAACTATGACGGAGCAGAGAATTCCCCCTTTAAGTACTGACCCTGAGCCAAATCTACTTTCAAGGTCTCCCCACGGGGAAGATGAGCTACCTTTCACATGAGGAAACAGACTTAGGGAGAGTGACTGGCCCATGGTCACAGAGAAGGTGACACAGAGCCCGAACGACCCAGCCCTAGTAGGTCTAGGGACTGTGAAAAAGGGCAAAGACCATCCCAGAGAGAAAACCCAAAGGGACCGAGGACCCCAAGCCCCTCGATGCTCACTCACCTTGAACCAGAGTGGTCAGCTGGAGCGTGAAGAAACCCAAGGAGATGAAAAGGAGCAACAGGAGAAGCAGAGGAGCCCAGGTCACACACTCTGCAGGACCAGCAGATGGGTGGGGCTTGGGGCTGGGGGCAGAGTCTGCGCCCACTCCACCCCTTAACCGCCCCCTTTCCTCCCGGCTGCCTGCTCCTGAACCAATCACCCCAGTACCTGGCAACCTCCTCAAACTGTGCAGTAGTCTAGGGTGCCTCTCAGCCAGTCTCTGGCCCCCAAATGTCTCCTCCTCTGGAGAGAAGAGAGCACACGCTCGTGAACTTGCAAGTCTGCGGAGCCCTGCTCTCAGAGTTGCAAGCTGGTTGCCAGGCCCCAGCACCATCAGGACCCTGGGGCCCTGTCATCCCCACCATCACCCCAGACTGGGGGCCCAGCCTCACCAGAGTCATCTGGCTCCTTGGGTTCATACATCTCTGCCATCCTTCTCCCCTTTCTGTTCCTCTTTCCAGCTGTTCTCTGGACAATGGTTTTTAAAACCTCACGTATTTCCCTCTGTAGCCCCTCCTCAGACCTGTTCTTTCTCAACTCACAAAGAATGAGGAACACGATAGGGATAACACTTCCTTCCAGAAAAATCTGGGGAGACAGGAAGCGGCTGACACAACTAAAGGAAAGGTCACTTAGGGTGGGGCAGAGGCTGGGCTGTCAGCTTTGCAGCCAGAAGGCATTAGTCCAGCCCCTATCCAACTCTGGTACCTTCAGCCTCACGGTTCCAGAGCCTCAGTTTCCTCACCTGTGAAATGGCACAATTAGCCTGCCTAAAGGAAATTGACCCTGAATATTCCTTGGAAGGGCTGATGCTGAAGCTGAAGCTCTAATACTCTGGACACCTGATGCGAAGAACTGACTTACTGGGAAAGACCCTGAGGCTGGGAAAGACTGAGGGCAGGAAAACGGGGTGACAGAGGAGGAGATGGTTGGAGGGCATCTTTGACTCAGTGGGCATGAGTTTGAGCAAAGTCTTGGAGATAGTGAAGGACAGGGAAGCCTGGAGAGCTGCAGTTCATGGAGTCACAAAGAGTTGGACAGGACTTAGTGACTGGATGATAGTAATCCTGCTTCACACTATAATTATGAGGTTGAATACAGTGCACTAGTAATGGATATAAACTGCCTATTCTAGTAATGAACACTCAGTAATAACAGCACTTAAGCATGAGCCAACCATTCTCCTTGGTGTGTGTTCTCCCTCACTGCTACAAGTAATAAATCTAGATTTGTTAACCACAGTGTGTTCCTGATGGTCTAACAGTTCTCACCGTAGCCCTGTGAGAAAGGTAGTTACTGTCCTTCTTTACAGATGAGGAAATTGAGAAACAGAGAGGGCGAGGAACTGCCTGAGGTCACACAGCTAAAAGGAGTGGGGCTGGGAGTTGACCCCTGAATCCGATTAACCACTACACAAAGCAGTCACTTCTTCTCCCTTTGTAACTACTAAATATAATATAGACAGTCACTTGGAAACTTTGTGTATCGAACTTACAATTTACTTCTATATGGACCCTATCTGATTCAACTGAGTATATATAACTGTCTTTCCCCCTTAATCTAAAGTGGGTCTTTTGTAGACAGCATATAATGGGATCATCTGTTTGATTCTTTCTGTCAATCTTTACCTTTTAGTTGGAGAATTTAACCCTTTTATATTTAACATAATTACTGATAAGGTAGACTTTCCATCTGCCATTTTGCTATTTGTTTTTCATATGTCTTATTTCCTTTTTATTCCTCAGTTCCTTTATTACTACCTTTTTCATGTTAAATAATTTCTTTTTTTTTAAAAAAAAAAAAGAAGAATTGATTTACAGTGTGAACTTACATAAACTGGGAAGCCAAAGAATTTATGTGATTTGCTTCATTACAATATTTGCTTTATTGTGCTAGAACCAAAATTCACAATACCTCCAAGGTATGCCTTGTAATATAATATGGCAACTATGGATATCATATTCTACCTCCTCCTGAAGGTTTGTTGTCATTGCTATTTTCCATAGTAGTTGTTTCTTGTTTATTTAATGGTTTTTCTGAACTAATTCTGCAAAGTCTCTATTCTCTGTCATGTACAATCACTTAAATCTCTACTTAGCTTTGTGTTTAGCTAGTGATTGAACAGCCTTCCTTGAAAATCTGAAACTAAAAGTCTTCACCCAGGATCTCTCTGTGTTTTGACACACAGTCAACACTCAGTCAGGAAGCTTGCAACCCGGCCTTAGCCACCACTTCGCTTTCTTGGTGCCTCGAAGTCAGCCAGAATTAAGAGCTTAGGAACTTGTTAGATCTTTCCTGGGTATGCACACGGCCCTCCATATGCATGTGGGCTTCCAGATTCCCAGGAAAATGCTGGAACTTTTCAAAGCCTCTTATGTGCATGCTCAGTCGCTCAGTCATGTCCGACTTTTTGCAACCCCATGGACAGTAACCCACCAGGCTCCTCTGTCCATGGGATTTCCCAGACAAGGATACTAGAGTGAGTTGCCTTTCCTCCTCCAGGGGGTTGTCCTGACCCTGAGATTGAACCCTTGTCTCCTGCATCTCCTGCATTGGCGGGTGAATTCTTTACCACTGAGCCACCTGGAAAGCCCTTTCAAAGCCCCTAGGGACATCTCTTTCCTTAACTTTTCCTTTTAAGACTTTTTGGTTATGTTATTATTTGCCCCAGCTGTTAGCCACTTCCTCAGGGAGCTGTGATGTTAAAATATTTGACAGACATCCCCTCGGGAGAGGTTTTTAGCATTGGGCAAGTTCGAGTGAGGTCAATGAAAGACAATCTGTTCAAGGGTGGTCTTCCAGGGAACCGCTGGATAGACCGGGTAATACTATTCCTTGGGAACGAGTCTTTATAAGAGCTCTGACGCCACTTTTTGTCCTGTACCAGAAATGTGACCTGTTATTTTTTAAGGCTATCTTGTTTTTAAATTTTATTTTATCAAAGTATAGTCAATTTACAATGTTGTGTTAACTTCTGCTGTACGGTGAAGTGGTTCAGTTATTCACATACATAGGTTCTTTTTCATATTCGCTACCATTATGATTTATCACAGGATATTGAATAAGGCTCCCTGTGCTCTACGTAGGAACTTACTATTTACTCATCCTATATATAATAGTTTGCATCTGCTAATCCCAAACTCCCAATCTTCCCCACCTCCTTGGCAACCACAAATCTATCCTCTACGTCTGTGAGTCTGTAAAGCTATTTCTGGGTTGGAGAGTGGGGACTGGGACTAGGGTGAGTTAAAATTCCACCAAGCTCACTGTTCTTTATTGAGATTCAGCCGTATTGCTTGTCTAAATACTCCCTGAATTACTGTAAGCTTTTGGTTGATTGCCAGCATTCTAAAAGTGTTGATTCTGACAAATTCTGCAGTTTTTCCATTGCTTTCATGGAAGGGCAAAATTTTTACTCTGCCATTTTTGCTGACATTTCTTTCTTTCTTTTTTTTTTTTCATTCTGTTTTTTGAGGCTTAAAGTGTCTTTGATTTGGCTAGTGGGAGCCTTTCACTCTGGCTCTGTGTCCATTTTACAGGTGCTTATCAGTTTTTTGCTGATCAGACTTTCCTTGCCCAAACCCTGGAATCACCCATTTTCCAAGAGACCTGGTTGCTTTTAAGTGAAGAATGACATTTAGAAGCCAAGACCTGAGTGTTAAGTGCATCATTATTATTAGGGTGTCATTGATTCCAGGACCTCTGAGTAGACAGACAAGAAAACAGATACATACACATGTATTTCTCTATCAGTTAGTTCAGTCACTCAGTCGTGTCAAACTCTTTTCGACCCCATGGACTGCAGCACGCCAGGCCTCCCTGTCAATCACCAACTCCCAGAGACTGCTCAAACTCATGTCCATTGAGTCAGTGACATCATCCAACCATCTCATCCTCTGTCGGCCCCTTCTTCTCCTGCCTTCAATCTTTCCCAGCATCAGGGTCTTTTCCAATGAGTCAGCTCTTCGCATCAGGTGGCCAAAGTATTGGAGTTTCAGCTTCAGCATCAGTCCTTCCAATGAACACCCAGGACTGATCTCCCTTACGATGGACTGGTTGGACCTCCTTGCAGTCCAAGGGACTCTCAAGAGTCTTCTCCAACACCACAGTTCAAAAGCATCAATTCTTTGGCTCTCAGCTTTCTTTATAGTCCACCTCTCACATCCATACATGACTACTGGAAAAACCATAGCCTTGACTAGACAGACCTTTGTTGGCATATTTCTCAATCACAGAGTTGGAAACGACTGAGCGACTAAATGCACACACTTCTATGCTGAAAACCATGAGTTCACACCAACACTAAATACAGTAGAGTTCATTTCTAATTTACCCTCTTTTTTTTTTTTTTTTGTCACACAGTTTGTGGCATCTCAGTTTCCCAAGCAGAGACTGAACTGGGGCCTTGACAGTGAAAGCCTGGAATCCTAACCGCTAAGCCACAAGGGAATTCCCACTCCATTCATCTTTGTAACACTCCTCTCTGATGGTGGGAAACCTGGTTCCCATTATCCTGGATGTATTTATTTACTTATTTCATCAATCCCACCATATGTATAGCCAACCTCATCTTCCCATCACCAACCCTTATACTGTGTAGATTCACTGGGCACTGAGCACTGCCCCCCCCGCCCCCGGCCAGGCAGGCGAGCCCTCGTGTTGTCCTTCTTACCTCACTTGGGCTCTGACATCCCACACCACTCATCTCTCCACTAGGACGGTCTCCTCCCCACGTCTGGACTCAACACTCTAGTGGCCGTCATTTTGAATGCTTCCTTCTGTCATCTAAGAACTGGCTGATTTACCTTGTCCCCAAAACACTTCTCCATCCATGTAACCCTGTCCATACCCAGAGCTTGTGCCTGCTTGTCCCCTGGTATAGAAGCTGCAACTGCTCTTGGCTCACCTACTAGGAGTTCTTTTATTGTTAATTAAAAAAAAAAAGAAAAGGTCACACCATATGGCATGTGGGATCCCAGTTCCCTGGCCAGGGGTCGAACCTGTACTCCCTGCAATGAAAGCACAGAGTCTTAACCACTGGACCACCAGGGAAGTCCCTGAAGGGCTCATTTTTACTTCTGAAACCCAGCTCCTCGAGGCTTCCTTGCATTTACCACTCTGACTAGTTCTATTGAAAAGTATGGGGTCTTCTAGTTATCACCGTAGAAAGGAGGATCTTTGGGAAATCTCTGCATTCTCACCAGCGGAAATCCTGTCATCACCCTTTCAACACTTATTTTGTGCTAAATGCTTTTCAGACACGATCTCAGCAAATCTCCACAACACAGCTACTACTGTCCCCATTTTACCTATGAGCAAACAGATTCAAGGGCTTCCCATGTGGTGCAGTAGTAAAGAATCCACCTGTCAATGCAGGAGGTGAAAGAGACGTGGGTTCGATCCCTGGGTTGGGAAGATCCCCTGGAAGAGGA